AAAAAAAAAAAAAAAAAAAAAAAAAAAAAAAAAAAAAAAAAAAAAAAAAAAAAAAAAAAAAAAAAAAAAAAAAAAAAAAAAAAAAAAAAAAAAAAAAAAAAAAAAAAAAAAAAAAAAAAAAAAAAAAAAAAAAAAAAAAAAAAAAAAAAAAAAAAAAAAAAAAAAAAAAAAAAAAAAAAAAAAAAAAAAAAAAAAAAAAAAAAAAAAAAAAAAAAAAAAAAAAAAAAAAAAAAAAAAAAAAAAAAAAAAAAAAAAAAAAAAAAAAAAAAAAAAAAAAAAAAAAAAAAAAAAAAAAAAAAAAAAAAAAAAAAAAAAAAAAAAAAAAAAAAAAAAAAAAAAAAAAAAAAAAAAAAAAAAAAAAAAAAAAAAAAAAAAAAAAAAAAAAAAAAAAAAAAAAAAAAAAAAAAAAAAAAAAAAAAAAAAAAAAAAAAAAAAAAAAAAAAAAAAAAAAAAAAAAAAAAAAAAAAAAAAAAAAAAAAAAAAAAAAAAAAAAAAAAAAAAAAAAAAAAAAAAAAAAAAAAAAAAAAAAAAAAAAAAAAAAAAAAAAAAAAAAAAAAAAAAAAAAAAAAAAAAAAAAAAAAAAAAAAAAAAAAAAAAAAAAAAAAAAAAAAAAAAAAAAAAAAAAAAAAAAAAAAAAAAAAAAAAAAAAAAAAAAAAAAAAAAAAAAAAAAAAAAAAAAAAAAAAAAAAAAAAAAAAAAAAAAAAAAAAAAAAAAAAAAAAAAAAAAAAAAAAAAAAAAAAAAAAAAAAAAAAAAAAAAAAAAAAAAAAAAAAAAAAAAAAAAAAAAAAAAAAAAAAAAAAAAAAAAAAAAAAAAAAAAAAAAAAAAAAAAAAAAAAAAAAAAAAAAAAAAAAAAAAAAAAAAAAAAAAAAAAAAAAAAAAAAAAAAAAAAAAAAAAAAAAAAAAAAAAAAAAAAAAAAAAAAAAAAAAAAAAAAAAAAAAAAAAAAAAAAAAAAAAAAAAAAAAAAAAAAAAAAAAAAAAAAAAAAAAAAAAAAAAAAAAAAAAAAAAAAAAAAAAAAAAAAAAAAAAAAAAAAAAAAAAAAAAAAAAAAAAAAAAAAAAAAAAAAAAAAAAAAAAAAAAAAAAAAAAAAAAAAAAAAAAAAAAAAAAAAAAAAAAAAAAAAAAAAAAAAAAAAAAAAAAAAAAAAAAAAAAAAAAAAAAAAAAAAAAAAAAAAAAAAAAAAAAAAAAAAAAAAAAAAAAAAAAAAAAAAAAAAAAAAAAAAAAAAAAAAAAAAAAAAAAAAAAAAAAAAAAAAAAAAAAAAAAAAAAAAAAAAAAAAAAAAAAAAAAAAAAAAAAAAAAAAAAAAAAAAAAAAAAAAAAAAAAAAAAAAAAAAAAAAAAAAAAAAAAAAAAAAAAAAAAAAAAAAAAAAAAAAAAAAAAAAAAAAAAAAAAAAAAAAAAAAAAAAAAAAAAAAAAAAAAAAAAAAAAAAAAAAAAAAAAAAAAAAAAAAAAAAAAAAAAAAAAAAAAAAAAAAAAAAAAAAAAAAAAAAAAAAAAAAAAAAAAAAAAAAAAAAAAAAAAAAAAAAAAAAAAAAAAAAAAAAAAAAAAAAAAAAAAAAAAAAAAAAAAAAAAAAAAAAAAAAAAAAAAAAAAAAAAAAAAAAAAAAAAAAAAAAAAAAAAAAAAAAAAAAAAAAAAAAAAAAAAAAAAAAAAAAAAAAAAAAAAAAAAAAAAAAAAAAAAAAAAAAAAAAAAAAAAAAAAAAAAAAAAAAAAAAAAAAAAAAAAAAAAAAAAAAAAAAAAAAAAAAAAAAAAAAAAAAAAAAAAAAAAAAAAAAAAAAAAAAAAAAAAAAAAAAAAAAAAAAAAAAAAAAAAAAAAAAAAAAAAAAAAAAAAAAAAAAAAAAAAAAAAAAAAAAAAAAAAAAAAAAAAAAAAAAAAAAAAAAAAAAAAAAAAAAAAAAAAAAAAAAAAAAAAAAAAAAAAAAAAAAAAAAAAAAAAAAAAAAAAAAAAAAAAAAAAAAAAAAAAAAAAAAAAAAAAAAAAAAAAAAAAAAAAAAAAAAAAAAAAAAAAAAAAANTAGTTCTGTTCGTCTGGCTGGATGATAGGAAATAATCTGTATTTTTTGACTTATTAAACGGTTTGTTTATTATAAAAAAAATTAAAAAATTAAAGAAACAAAATTAAGATTTATTTCTTTTATATATCCTCATTACTTTTCCCAAATTATATTATTAATTAATTAATTAATTAAGCGGAGTAAATACACTTATATGTAAAGAGCAATGGCATAGATGTGTCACTCAACCCTTTTCTTACTAGCGATCCAAGAATAACACGAAACAAAGCATCAAGTGTAATTTAGACATTCAAAATAGCTAATTTTCTCTCGTAAAATCTTTATATACTTAGATTTTTATTTGGATTTTATGGCTTTAAAAAGAAAAAATAAATGTACAGCAGGAGAGTAGAAAAACTCTTCGTGAGATCGCTTATAATCTTTTTCATACCAAACATTTGCTTTGGTAATAAATTAAAACCGCTACATGTCGAAAGTTTTATTGTAGTTATAAACGTTTTATAAACATCTAAATTTAAATCATAAATCCTCCAGCTTATGCAACTAAATTTGTTCAAATTTTCTTGTCAAATCAGCAAATTAATGTAGAAAAATTATAATTCTGGATTAAATTAAGGATTTTTCTAAAATTTATTAATGTTTCTTACACTCAAATATATATATTGCACACCAGTTTAAGTCTGGAGCATGTAATCTAGTTTTAAACTAGTATGCACTCTGAAATCTTTGAAGATTTTCAAGAAATCTTCTACGTGAAATCTTAAATAACAATGTTTTGTTTATAAATAAAGTAGATATTCGTATTTATATATTGCTAAACTTTACGTTAATTCATCCAAAAAAAAGTGACCTAGAGATTTATCTATCACCCTACTCCATGTTTGTCCAATTTTTTCATCATTGTAACGCTGTTTCTTCTCAAACACCATTAATTTAACTGAAGAGGGGTGCTTAAAAGTCTACTGCTTACAAGTAAAAAAAAATCGAGTGATGATACACGAAATAAAATTACTTTAGAAAAGGTTTTGCAACACTTGAGGTAACACAGCAATGTTATATAATGGGTTGTGTCGTATGCTCCTTGTGCTCTTCTTCCCTCTCAATAGTACAACGATCAATGTATTTACTCGATAAAATTCAAAATTTAAGGAAATTTTTGGTTATAATTCTATTATTTTTTGATATTTCATAAAATTAGTACCCAAAAAAATCGAGGACACTCAGTTACTATTCCTGTACGTGACGTAATTTAGATAAAAATATAATATGATTCACACACATCGTCACGGTTTTCGTGTTGATAAATTTCTGGGGGTGGTTCCTTTTTTTAATTTTCTGTCTTTATTTCTATAAGTTTACTACTTTATAAAGTGAAATTTCGCTACTGTTGGTCCCAGTGAGGAGCAATACTTCAAGTATTGCCGCAATTAGAGCAATTGAGAGGTGTCTAGATTTTGTTTGGCACAGAATATCTTGTTAAGCTTAAAATTATGTTAAAAAATATTAACATTTGGCTCTTAAATTAGTAAATCTATTAATGATTTTAGTAGTACTTCTCCATTGACGAGTAGCAACACCTCGCTAAAATCATTAAAAATTCGTTAATTTTTTAAGGGAAATTTTGGTATATTTTATAAATTTTAAAACAAATTATTAAGTTTTTATGTTTAAAAGTAAGATATTTGTGCCAAACAAAGTCTAGAGATCTTTCAGTTTCCTTTTAATTGCTCCAATTGCAAATGTTTTGGCTCCATCCCACTTCCTTATCTTCTTTAATTATGCTTCGTTCTCTATCATCCGTAAACTATTTATAAAGTTTTATTTTGTTTTTTAACTTGTCAAAAGTGGCATTAACATAGAGTAACACTTCTATGTAAAATAGTACATCCCCACTTCAAGTTTTACTTACTGCACTTCAAGCAGTAAGAAGTTTGCTGCTTGAAGTGCAGTAAATAAACCTCTTGCTGCTTGAAGTGCAGTAAGTAAATTTCTTGCTGCTTGAAGTGCAGTAAGTAAACCTCTTGCTGCTTGAAGTGCAGTAAGTAAACCTTTTGCTGCTTGAAGTGCAGTAAGTAAACCTCTTGCTGCTTGAAACCAAAGAAAAATAGTAAAAAAAAAAACTACTTTTACTCAAAATTCCTCCTAGAACACCAAAATAAGACAACCGAAATAACAAAAATGTCGTATTATTGTTTCTGTTTCGGCTCTTAAACAAAAATAATCTAAATCATGGTGTCAGAACGATCAATCACTGGCATCATTTATATTATTTTAGTAGCAATTTTATCAGTTTAAAATCAAAGAAATTATGTCTGATAAATCTGGGTTTAATTAATAGCTGGTGTAAAATGATACAGTTGGCACTACAGACACACTTCTTGGCATCATACGTGTGTTTCGAACATTTAAAGTTAACCTTCAACATGTCTCCACTATGGCACAATTATACTATGAAATTATTCCTGAATATAAGTGAAATTGTAAAAAAGAGTATTCAGCTTGTTCAATACATCTTGAACTTTCAGTTTCATTTTAATATTGTGAGTGTTCAATAGCAATTTACGCAATTAGGGCCCTACTCTATGAGGGAGAATTCAATCTATAGACTTAAATGAGGTTTGTGAGGAGTACCTTACTCTACAGATTAGGGCCTCGTGCTTTTGAATTAATTATAGTTTGTTGGAGGAGAAGGCCCTTGCATGTAATAGAGGCCTTACTCTATTCGAACTTCCTTTCATAGAGTGAAGCTCTATGAAAGGAAGCTTCGTTCTGAGATTAAAATGTAGTTTAAAATGAGGGCATTAATCTGCAAATTAAGGCCTCATGTTTTTAAATCAATTATTATTTTATAGAGTAGGCCCTCGTATGTAATAATTTAGGTTTTCAAACTTAAGTTCTGTTCGTCTGTTCAACCAAAATAACATAAATATTAATTCTTGGCTTAACACCCGAGAAATAGTAAATGGGTGNTTCATTTCATTCTTCATTTTCATGCCACATCTAACAGATATATATATTTTTTTCCTTTCGTAAACTTGTAAACAATGCAGCAATGCAGTCAATAAATATATCAAGACATATAAAAGTTAAAAATTATAATAATAAAACATATACACAACCACAAACTTTATCACAGTAATTATAATGGACTTTATACATATGATATGAACTGCTGCAACATACGCACATTCACATATCTACATCTATCACTTTGGACACTTTTTTATTTTAAAAAATTGACACTAAAATAGTAAAATTCTGTCACACGTGTTTAAAATAAGCTCTCTGAGCATATAGAAAAAAAAAAAAAAAAAAACATTTGTATAAGAGGCCTACTCACTAGACCAAGAGAGGCCTAAACACTAGACCGAGTGGTCTACAAATGAGAATAATTATATTAATTAACATAAATTGTGAAAGTTCAAGTTTTGTTCTCTGTTGTTTCTTTCGATTTTGTTTTTCCATTTGCCACCACATCATTTTTTGGTGGAGATTCCTTTTCGGATTTTGATTTATCCTTTCCATGTACCTCAGTTATATCGGGTTTACCATAATCTTCCTCTATTATATTAGCCATATCCAAACCGAATGTGTTACCAAGACGTAATTTGGCTTTCTGAAAAGTGGCCGATAACTTTTCCTGAATGACATTGATGCACATTGATGTTAAAGCCAAACCAAAGAGTAAGTAGATAAATGTTGCCATCATGTATCTTGGATGAGCTGGTGAATAGTCACCGAAACCGATGGTACTCATCGATATGAATACGAAGTAAAATGCCTCGAAAAATGTCCAATTTTCCCATAAAGTAAATAAAAATGCACCCAACATCATGTATGCTACTAATATCACCATTGCTAAACTTACTGGTAAATTAAATTCATCGTCTACTTCGTAGTAACTAGGTGCTAATGGTTCAGCGTACGAAACGATGTCTTCTTCTGTTTCATTTTCTTTTCCTCCTTCTAAATTCACTGGAGAATTTTTCGATTGAACAGAAGGTGAAGGCATTCCTCCTCTCCATGCAAACATCAACTAGAAAAAAAATATAAGTATTTAGTATCCTGTAACACACGTTTTAACAACAAAAAATGATACTAATTTCTACGATTATCGTCAAAATAATTAGCATTTCTGTGTTAAAACATTCCAGATATATACTAAACTTGGTTAAACTTATATAATCTTTTACTTCATCATCAAATCCACAGTGTTCAATAGATAAAACCACTGAACATTGTGGTTTCAGTAGTTTTATCCAGCGGGCCGGTGACGTGGAGTTTTTCGGGTTTTCTTCACGTTTCTATCATCTAAATAGGAGTCAGTTTCCTGTAAAATACATCACGGGAGGCACCCCTCCCCCTTGGTAGATCGCCCATAAACAAAATAAACCAAACCAATCATCTTTAAGTGGTAAAAAACTATAGAAATTGATACGTAATGTATTAAAATATCAAGTCATTGTTTTCTTATATACATTATACTTTCTGTTTTTAATCTACGTGTAACTAAATAATTCGATTTTAAGCGATACGTAATTATAAACCTATATAAAATCATTATCTGCGTATTTTCTTCAGAGAAATAACAATATAATTGTAAAAAATATTAACCTAGAACCAAAATATCCGTATCTGGTTTATATTATCTTCAAAGGAATATAAGTACATATGTTTTGAGATCTTGATCTCAGTCCAATGCCACATCTTTTCTGAGAAATAAACCTGTCACTTGCCTGTAAGCCAACTTTACTCTAAACAAAACGTCATGTTACTGAGAGATAACTTCGAGCTTGCCAAAATTTTATCATTCTTTGTTAGAAATTTCACAATAAAAGGAAAACTGTAGAAATTCTATCAAATCATGACATGAATCAGCAGTATACATAAACTCTCACCTCACTCTGTTAGAAATTTTTATTTATATTTCAGTTTTTGTAGCTCTTTACTGACATTTTTAATGTATAAAATATTCATTTTAATCTTCTATACATCATACAGGAGTTAAATTACATGTAACGATTATTCTATAGTACTGACCTGGGCAGGAACTGCAGTTGCTCGTCTTCCAACTTTCCTCACTTTCTTCATCTGTCCCGTTTGATAAAACATTCTTATGTACTTGAAGACTAATTTTATGGCACGTGTGAACAGTTTACCCAAATCTGCAAGCACCATAAGTAAAAATGGAATTCCAATAAAGGCATAAACTATCGTAACTGCTCTTCCTCCTTTAGTACTTGGTGCGATGTTACCGTAACCTGTAAAGAAAAGAATACATAAATCAATTTACTCAGGTAATTGTAATCATTATCTACACTTGTTTAAAACCTCCCACTAGTTAAGAATCTCATAATTTGATATTCCTCGACTATATTCTTCTTTCTAAACATTGAAAGATTGATGGCACAGCGTGTGCTAATTCAGTTTATTTACTTTGCAACGAGGGTTTGGCTGATTGATCCTTCAGAGTTTATAAATCATCAGCTTTACTACGCATTATCGTTGTTTGTTTAATGAGAGAAATCCTACCAAAAAACGTTTTATTTAATTAAAACACACACTTTAATGCATAAAACTCCGTTTTTTACAAGATTTATAAGTAAATCTTGTAAAAAATAATGTAAAAATTAGCAATTTTTTTCCTAAATAAGTCAGTTTTCTTACAACAGTTTTCCTTCTCAATGAGTTTATGGCACTGCAGTACCTATACAGGGCCTCTCAGAGGACTAAAAAGGAAAATGGTTACTTGTCTGAGGCCCTAATATATTAAAACTTATATTTTAAAATAAAATATGGCAAAAGCAAAGGTTTTTTCCCCCTTTAATACACACGAAATGCAATGTAAGGAACACTTAGAGAGGCCTCCTACTTACACATTCCACAAGACCAGATGGACTTGTATTATAAAGATTATAATTAAAATAGATTTTGCAATTTGTTTAATGTTTAATTTTATCAAATTAATTATTAGCTAAAATCGATTATATGTTTATAGTTACATAAATCCCGTATAAAGTGTATAGAGGTGACAGTTTCCATAATGAATCAAAGCGACGTTTGCAAGACAATGAAACATAGCAGCGAAATGACGGGTCCAGTTTCCCATAGAAATCTATGTGTAACACCTAAATAGGGGCCACTTTCAGTAGACACGTGAAAAAGAAAACTGGAATACTTCACCAGCCCATTAATCAGGTGCGAACCTGCGACCATTTTATGAAGAAACTGATAAGAGAAGATAATACATAATAGAGGTTTAACATCTTAAGAAGATGAGAGTGATGATTAAGAATAAAATTAAAAAGATAAGATGATTAAGAAGAAGAAATTACACTTAAAATATCTTCATAACTAGCAAGGTGATTATAAAATCTTCATCTTCACTCACCAATTAGAAAACGTTTTATAAAAAAAATATAAAAAAATACCAATATTTTAAAACATCATCACATTATTTAAGGCAGAATTAAGTTACAGTTAACAAACTGCCACTGTTTAAATAGTAGTAATAAACTACACACGTGCGACTACAAGAACTCCTTAGTATAGCGGTAATTTCATCACTTCCTGGTGATATTTTTCCTCTCTTATAATAGAAAGTAATTCCATCACCTTAAGAGGCATCAGAGGGTGTCGAGGAAATATCAACCGAGGTTATCTCGTTACTTAAAAATCAATTATAAATATATTTTTCTAATAAAACTGATAAGGTAAAGAGTATATATTCTAGTAGAGATTTGGAAGAAAATTTATGATTTTTTCGCTATTTTTAAATTAGAAACTACTAACTCCTATCCGTTCTGATGACAAATCTAATGATAAACACAATTTGTTAGGAAAGGAAAATTTACTGTTTCGAAAATAAAAGACGAAAAGTCAAAATTAGAAGTCGAATGATAATGCTATTTGCTTCGTGTTTCAATTGATTTATCACGCTACAATTCAGCTTAGCAATGCAGTTTATTTTATTTTATTTTTTTATTATTATTTATACAAATAACAGCAAAGAGTTGCGTAAGTTTCCAGGCATAAATGTTAAAATTGCGTATGGCTCCATCTGTTGTGAAACTTTAATTTAAAAATTCTATTATTATTACTTATTATAGAATGGTAAAAAGTTTAATTTTGAAGATAGGAATGAGTTTTATAAATGATTATAAATGTTAATAACGAATAAAATCTTTATTAAGTCCAACTTTACTCGAGATAAGACGCTTAATTCCCTCTATCTCCTCGACCCCTTGAACTTTAACCACCAAAATTTAACAATATCAACCCTCCTAATATCCGAATCTTCCTGCGAAATTTCAGAAATTTTCGACGAAGGGTACGTGAGTTATTAACCTTTAAATTGGATGAAGACGATCGTGTCCCCTCCATACAAACACCCATACCTATGGAAAAACTACCAAGTTTTTTATATTTTCAAGAAAATACGAGTCTAAAACATATATATATAATATGGATAAGTAAAGGTGCATAAATTTATAAGAAATTATTTATTTTAATCAGTGATTTATTTTATATTCTAGTTTCTCAATAGACAGTTAAATATATTTATTTGTTTTTAACTTGAATTCGAATTTATTTTCATGTTTATAAGAATAATAACATAAATATTATTTACTTAATTCTTCATTTGTCAATATTTTAAACAAATATATACATTTTTTTTTTTTAAGATTACTTCATTATCAGATGCTCGATATTAACGCAGGGAGCTCGAATAGGCTAATATTCCTTATGTTTACCTTACAGAAATCTTTACTTGTTTCTCAATTAAATTTCTATTTATCTTAGAAAATACACGGCAAGATTTTCTTTTATTTTGCTATTTATTTCTGTTAAGTCGAGTTATTTTTGTATTTCGGAAGAGTTATTTTTGTCGGAGCGCGACTATGGTTGCTCCAATCAACAAGATATCGGATTATCTCATAGAAACGTACCATTTCTATTGTGTTTTTTTACTTCATAAATTAGTTATCGAGTAAAAGAATTACTTTATATTCATTATTTCTCGTTTTCTCTTCAGGAAAACGTAAATTTCAATTGTTAATCTGTAAATCCGTACAAGAAAACCACGTGGTATATGAATAACAGTAGATCAGAAATTAACAATGTAATAATGATATTAATGCCTTTAACAATATTAAAAACTAAATAAAAAGGCTGAAAATAATACAATATAAGTGATATACACTGTTGGATTTACATGTAAGTTAGATAACGTACAACTACTTGGACTTACAAGTTATTTTTATTGGGTAATGGAAATGCATTATAGCTTAGATCCTCCTATATGTTATAGTTTAGAGCTTCCTATATATATTATAGGTTAGAGCCTTCTAAATTGTGCCCTTATTTTGCCTATGATCTGAGTGGTTATAAAATCGTTCCACGAGTTCCTAACCGAAAATAATACTTAACCTCTCTTAAATTATTAAAAAAACTAATGTTTTTATTTCATTAAACTTAAAAAAATGATGGAAATATATTGTAAATTACGAAAATTATCATGATAAAGTTGAAATCTTTACGAGAATTTACATACAATCCAACTTTCCTCAAATCTTTCGTAATTTCTCGCTATTTAGTCTAAGGTTTAAGAAGGTAGATCCTCTATTAAAATAATAAATTTTTAAATATTTTTACCAATAATAATAATAATAATATTTCTAGAAATAACCTTGACCTTTCTGTAAATTCCCAATGGTAAAAAAGTAAGGTCTAAATAACATATTCTGCTGTCGAGTCGACGATGAAACATGAACGTGACTCATCACTCGGGTCTGTTCCCTAGAGAATAAATATGGATTTTTGATGTCAAGCCATCCAAAAATAAACATCGGTCCCTTTTGTTAGCTTTTTAAAGAAATATTAATTTTAGAAATAGTAAATTTTAAAGTTATAATCACGTCTATCATAACAATAACACAACTTCAAACATAGAACGACTTGAACGGCATTAACAACTGAAAAAATACATTTTAGACGAAAAAAAATCTTTAAAAATATAACATTAATGCATTTCTAATTATGTAAATAATAAATATTTAACATTTTAAACATAAATTATGGCAGAAAAATATATTTTAAGCAGTAGAAATGCCGCTTCTCCTATACTTCTTTTCGGTAAATTTCGCTCTTGTGTTGCAAAAGAACGATTTTTTTTTTTTTGGTGCTAATTTGAAATTTTCTGGAAGTAATGTGAATGTAAATTTAGATTATGAAGAAAATGACAGCCGTGAAGTTCATTAACATACATAATTCTACAATAGTCTATTGCATGAGCCACTTCCAAGTGCAAGGTGACTGGTCTATATTTAACTACGAATACAAAACAGGATATCTACTTTTCTCTCCCTTCTCTTCTTTTTTTTTTGTTTTTCTAGGGAATTTCTTTGAAGATTGCAGAAGTCAAATCCCTCAACTGCAATGCCAAAATATGTTAGAAACTATGCTAAATATATTCCAGATGTATTCTTATACAAGGAATAAAGAAAATTTACTTAAACCTTTGTCGTCGTCGTTTTACTAAACTTATCTTTAATTTGTGAGCCATTTTTTTAATGAAAATTATGTGAAAATTGTTTTAATTAATAATTCTGAAGATTCTATAATGGATGATTTGTAGGAAAACTGTAAAGATGATTACATTTTCAAGCTGGATGATAGGAAATAATCTGTATTTTTTGACTTATTAAACGGTTTGTTTATTATAAAAAAAATTAAAAAATTAAAGAAACAAAATTAAGATTTATTTCTTTTATATATCCTCATTACTTTTCCCAAATTATATTATTAATTAATTAATTAATTAAGCGGAGTAAATACACTTATATGTAAAGAGCAATGGCATAGATGTGTCACTCAACCCTTTTCTTACTAGCGATCCAAGAATAACACGAAACAAAGCATCAAGTGTAATTTAGACATTCAAAATAGCTAATTTTCTCTCGTAAAATCTTTATATACTTAGATTTTTATTTGGATTTTATGGCTTTAAAAAGAAAAAATAAATGTACAGCAGGAGAGTAGAAAAACTCTTCGTGAGATCGCTTATAATCTTTTTCATACCAAACATTTGCTTTGGTAATAAATTAAAACCGCTACATGTCGAAAGTTTTATTGTAGTTATAAACGTTTTATAAACATCTAAATTTAAATCATAAATCCTCCAGCTTATGCAACTAAATTTGTTCAAATTTTCTTGTCAAATCAGCAAATTAATGTAGAAAAATTATAATTCTGGATTAAATTAAGGATTTTTCTAAAATTTATTAATGTTTCTTACACTCAAATGTATATATTGCACACCAGTTTAAGTCTGGAGCATGTAATCTAGTTTTAAACTAGTATGCACTCTGAAATCTTTGAAGATTTTCAAGAAATCTTCTACGTGAAATCTTAAATAACAATGTTTTGTTTATAAATAAAGTAGATATTCGTATTTATATATTGCTAAACTTTACGTTAATTCATCCAAAAAAAAGTGACCTAGAGATTTATCTATCACCCTACTCCATGTTTGTCCAATTTTTTCATCATTGTAACGCTGTTTCTTCTCAAACACCATTAATTTAACTGAAGAGGGGTGCTTAAAAGTCTACTGCTTACAAGTAAAAAAAAATCGAGTGATGATACACGAAATAAAATTACTTTAGAAAAGGTTTTGCAACACTTGAGGTAACACAGCAATGTTATATAATGGGTTGTGTCGTATGCTCCTTGTGCTCTTCTTCCCTCTCAATAGTACAACGATCAATGTATTTACTCGATAAAATTCAAAATTTAAGGAAATTTTTGGTTATAATTCTATTATTTTTTGATATTTCATAAAAATAGTACCCAAAAAAATCGAGGACACTCAGTTACTATTCCTGTACGTGACGTAATTTAGATAAAAATATAATATGATTCACACACATCGTCACGGTTTTCGTGTTGATAAATTTCTGGGGGTGGTTCCTTTTTTTAATTTTCTGTCTTTATTTCTATAAGTTTACTACTTTATAAAGTGAAATTTCGCTACTGTTGGTCCCAGTGAGGAGCAATACTTCAAGTATTGCCGCAATTAGAGCAATTGAGAGGTGTCTAGATTTTGTTTGGCACAGAATATCTTGTTAAGCTTAAAATTATGTTAAAAAATATTAACATTTGGCTCTTAAATTAGTAAATCTATTAATGATTTTAGTAGTACTTCTCCATTGACGAGTAGCAACACCTCGCTAAAATCATTAAAAATTCGTTAATTTTTTAAGGGAAATTTTGGTATATTTTATAAATTTTAAAACAAATTATTAAGTTTTTATGTTTAAAAGTAAGATATTTGTGCCAAACAAAGTCTAGAGATCTTTCAGTTTCCTTTTAATTGCTCCAATTGCAAATGTTTTGGCTCCATCCCACTTCCTTATCTTCTTTAATTATGCTTCGTTCTCTATCATCCGTAAACTATTTATAAAGTTTTATTTTGTTTTTTAACTTGTCAAAAGTGGCATTAACATAGAGTAACACTTCTATGTAAAATAGTACATCCCCACTTCAAGTTTTACTTACTGCACTTCAAGCAGTAAGAAGTTTGCTGCTTGAAGTGCAGTAAATAAACCTCTTGCTGCTTGAAGTGCAGTAAGTAAATTTCTTGCTGCTTGAAGTGCAGTAAGTAAACCTCTTGCTGCTTGAAGTGCAGTAAGTAAACCTTTTGCTGCTTGAAGTGCAGTAAGTAAACCTCTTGCTGCTTGAAACCAAAGAAAAATAGTAAAAAAAAAAACTACTTTTACTCAAAATTCCTCCTAGAACACCAAAATAAGACAACCGAAATAACAAAAATGTCGTATTATTGTTTCTGTTTCGGCTCTTAAACAAAAATAATCTAAATCATGGTGTCAGGGCGATCAATCACTGGCATCATTTATATTATTTTAGTAGCAATTTTATCAGTTTAAAATCAAAGAAATTATGTCTGATAAATCTGGGTTTAATTAATAGCTGGTGTAAAATGATACAGTTGGCACTACAGACACACTTCTTGGCATCATACGTGTGTTTCGAACATTTAAAGTTAACCTTCAACATGTCTCCACTATGGCACAATTATACTATGAAATTATTCCTGAATATAAGTGAAATTGTAAAAAAGAGTATTCAGCTTGTTCAATACATCTTGAACTTTCAGTTTCATTTTAATATTGTGAGTGTTCAATAGCAATTTACGCAATTAGGGCCCTACTCTATGAGGGAGAATTCAATCTATAGACTTAAATGAGGTTTGTGAGGAGTACCTTACTCTACAGATTAGGGCCTCGTGCTTTTGAATTAATTATAGTTTGTTGGAGGAGAAGGCCCTTGCATGTAATAGAGGCCTTACTCTATTCGAACTTCCTTTCATAGAGTGAAGCTCTATGAAAGGAAGCTTTGTTCTGAGATTAAAATGTAGTTTAAAATGAGGGCATTAATCTGCAAATTAAGGCCTCATGTTTTTAAATCAATTATTATTTTATAGAGTAGGCCCTCGTATGTAATAATTTAGGTTTTCAAACTTAAGTTCTGTTCGTCTGTTCAACCAAAATAACATAAATATTAATTCTTGGCTTAACACCCGAGAAATAGTAAATGGGTGTTTATTATAAATATTTTTTTGTTAAAACATAAACAGTGATGTTTATTTTATGGGTAAACAATCGAATTATGTAAAATTTTATATTTATTTTTTAATTAAATTCAACTGATTTACGCTCTTCCAACCGTAAAATGCATTGTTAAAATTACAGTTAATTGTTGTAATTTCTGTTTAAAAAACAGCAATTTTTTTAGTTTTTAATTTAAAAAATTATACTTTTCCCCTTAATAATTTATATTTTTACATTTTAAATATATAATTTTTTGAAACAAAATAAAAAAATTAAAGATTTATTGTATTTTTTATGCTTGATGTATTGATACAATCAATTGAAATTAAATCTCACTTTTATGAATAAATTTCAATTAATTTGTAAAATTTTTATACTTTAAACTCTTAAAATATATATACTTTTAAAGAATTTCCTAATAATAATTTAGGAATTATTTATAGAATTTGCTTTCTAGAAGTGTTTTCAAGCGAAGTGGTAAACATATCGTTGTCTTGGTAAACATATTTTACTGTTAATTTGAGTGATTTACTGTATAAATTACCATTAATTACTGCACTAATTAGCTTATAAAATGAACAAACTTACCTATAGTAGTAAAAACAGTGCAACAGTAAAACATGGCACCCCAAAAAGTCCATTGAGGTTGCTCAGGGTCGATAGAAATCTTATTCTGGAAAGCCTCATACACCTGCTCCTCGTAAGCGATCATCTTATGTGTGACTTCACTGTTCCAAGTATTAAGGCTCACATTCCTGTTGTGCAAAATCCACATATCGTGAATGATAAGCTCCCTAATCCTGCTCAAACTAATCCTTTCTCTATTCTCCAAAGGGGCCTCCAGGGCTTTGAATATCACAGCACCCAAACACGCGTAACCGATTAAGAATATCAGCAAAAGAATATGAGTGAACCACTTTTCTGATATGGCCTTAATCTTTTCTACACAACGTACTGCAAAGGTCCTGCTTTTGTCCCTGAGTGTGACCACGTGCATAGGATTTATAACATAATATTGTGGGTGACCATCCGCTGGCATCCAATCTATGACAGGATGATAGGACGGTGGTCTCAGGAGGGTTCCTGTTGGGCTTCCCATCTTGTTATCGCGATTGCTGCAGTAAAAATGCTGTAACGAGTCCGTTGACGGTGGTAGTGAACGTCTGATGTTAGAGCATCCCTTTGCCAGCGATACATTTAGATCCACGTGCCAACTCACACAACGCCTCCCTGGTTTGTTGGGATTTCTCAAAATTAGCATCACCGCTTTCTATGACGTCAGAATAGTGAAGAGGAGGAGAAACTAAGTTGCAGGAAGGGAAGGAAAAAAAAGAATTCCAGAAAACTGAAACGAGAAATGACAAATCTTATGATTATTATATTTCATGAGTCTGGAGGGGTTGTGTTTATTTTTTGTGTGTCTTCTTCGTGTTCTACATTTTTAGTAATTGAAACATATCGCTTATTTTAAAATACACATTTCTAACAATTAATTTAATATGTTTAGGTTATAATTTTATACGAAATATGTTACATTTAAGCAGTTTTATAAAGCTAGATAAAGAAAAACTGTAGTGTAACATTAAGAGAAATTAATTAAGTATGTTATCTCTCGTTTGAGTAAGAAACATTGAAATTTTTTACGTGTTTATAGGGTGTATTTTCGATTCTAAAAGAAACTTCATTAAAAATTTGTACTTACGTATTTAAAATACTCACCTGTAGGTTTTTTCTAATAAGATGTAGTGCTAGAAACGAATTATTTGTAGGATTGTGGAGTGCTTCGAAGCCTTTATACCTCATTTGTGATCGATATTTGTTATAAGTGAATCACAATGACTCACTGGAAAATAGGTTGAAGAACCACAATAAATAAATTGTTTAATTTATAAGTGAGAAATGATAATTTTCACTTGTTTATCAGAAAAAACAAGTAAAAATTTTTTTCTGTAATATTCTAATTTAGTGCGAGATATCTAAATATAGAATGAGGTAGATTCGTAGAAAATGTCAAATTTTCTAAATATATAATTAAGCTTTGGAATTAATTTAAATTGTATTAAATATATCAAATAGGCCTATATCTTTCAATTATTTTATGAGATTTAAGTGAAATATTGTTTATTAAAATTAAATTTAAAATTATATTTTTAAATATAATTAAAAAAATTAAAGAATATAAATATTTATAAATAAAATTTTTAGATTTTAATTAAATTTATTCATTTAATTTCAAGTTACAATCTTCATCCAGAGCATCTCTTGGATATGGAAGANTTTCAATTTAATTTATTAATTTATATAATTATATTTCTGTTAATTATAATTTAATTAAGCCATATTATTAATAAATATTTAAATTTTACTTATTAACAATTTCAGTAGTTTCTTAGATTGGCTTTTGCATAAAGCGAGCCTCTATAAACTCAGTGTTATAAACTGGGTATGAGTTCTTATGATTTATATATTATTTAATAAAGTTGGAGGATCTTTTTATAGAAAAATGAAACTTAGAACGTTACACTACGAGACTATGGCTTAGAACACTACAAGATTATAGCATAAAATCCCATACTATGAGGTTACAATTTAGGAACACAGTACAGGTTAAGCATTAAATGTCTTACTACGAAGCTACTACTGAGAGGTTCCACCATACAAGCTTACGACATTACGCTTTTAAATGTATTATTTGCTAGTGAGAAGGGTCTCTTATGAGAAGGTTAGAATCACTGAAATGACCCTAATGAAATAATGTTTAAAGATTATAAAAATATTTAAAAATTTTTTCACATTCCCTTGAAGTTAACTTCTTTGAACTTTAATAATTATTATCTTTAAAAGTTTTAAATATATTTTTTTAAAGTTTTTAAGAAGAAATATTATTAAAAGATTCAAGGTTTTAGCAGGAAATATTTTACTCATTGCTTCAACTTTTAAGGTATTAATTAACCTTCACAAAAGTGTATCAAGTAGAGTGAATGTTCATTGTTTTTTTGGAAAGAATGGTTGCCAAGAAAACATTTGTTAATTCTTTCAACTCTTTGTTTTTCTTCTTCTTTATAAAATAAAGTTCTAAGAAGGTCAACTTTCTTTTCCTTTGTTTTTTTTCCCTCCTCCTCTTGTTTTGTTCTTGAGTTACTTAATAAAAATCATTTTAAAGAGTAACTTAATTATGTTTCGAGATTAATGTTCTTGTACACCATAAAAACTTAATTAAAGTTTGTGGTCTTTTATTTTTATATTTGTATCGATCCATTTTAAAAGAAAATAATAATAAAATAATAATTAAAATTTTGTTTACGCTTAGAATTTAATTATATAAATATTTTCTTTGCGTGTTATCATCGAGTTTTTCTTATCTAAATTGAATTTTAGAATCATTTATTATTATTATTTTTGCTTTTTTCTATTCTTTATCTATTTAAAATTAATTATTATTTATTACTTCCACAATTTTTTTTTCTCTTATGTTTCTTCTTTCTTGCTTGCTTCTCCTCGTCAAAGATGTAATTCTAAACCATTCTATAAACTAAATTCGGAATATTTTTGTTGATACGATGATGCAACGAAAGAAAAATCATCCCTCATCTAGCATTAACTGTTGTAAAGTAATTTGGCCTCACTCTCTATACATTTAAGCCTCGTATTTAGGATCAGTTCGTTCACCTCCATATCTATAAATAGGTTTCTAGTTCTTTGAAATGGTTCCTACTCGGTGACAATAAAAGTTTTTAATTCTAATAATAAGAGCCATTTTCGTAACAGACATGAGTAAATTTCATATAAAACTCGTCCTTGAAGCATTGCCTCTTATAATAACCTACATTATTATATAATAAATTTATTTTAATCTTTCTTCTAGTAAGTATTTTTCGAATTATTTCAATAAATTTGATGATTAATTACATATTCTATGCCAATTATTTTATTTTGGTAAAGTATAACGTATCATTTCTTGAATTCTCATATTATTTTCGAGGAGGACGTTCAGGAAAGTCTCATATTTTCTGAGATTTACAGAAAAATTATTTATTCTGTAGTTTTTAGGATAAGAATGCAACACGTTGTACAATTTATAATTATATTTTAACTATAAATTTAAGGAATTTTGCTTACGAATTAGATAAATTGTGGATAATTTTCACGTTGACACGTGCCTTGTTTATGCTTGATAATCGTTTCAAATGCGTCAGAATGTACGAAAAAAAAGGCTTGGATTCTCTCCAAACATGACTAATAAAGCGTCTGTCTGAGAGAATACTAAAAATTCTGTTTTGTCTCCTCCGACTCCATTACTTCACTACTCTTTATGAAGGTAACGCGCTGTTAGAAACTATACTTACATTTAAATGATAAGAATGACTAAAAAACACAAAGAATATTAATTTTTTTATTGTAAAGAATTGATAAGATACATAATCTATCATAATTATTTATGATAACTCGATCTGTATCTTATGAATGGGAGAAATTGCCATCAATCATGATACTCACATTGCGTGAGATTCGTAGAAGCATGCAACATTATTAACAATGATGAAGATTAAATTTTTATGTTTTTAATATTGTTACACTCCTAAATAGATTTGTTATGACTTAAAAATCTGCTTTCAGACTATACATTATAATCATAAATGAATGTTGTGATGCATTTATTTAAGTCAGCTTACGTGTTAGGTGCAGTACCATAAATGAAGAGTTGAATGCCTTGCGTTAATTGAATAAAATTAATAAAGAATATTTTAAAATTCACTTTTAAAATAAAGTTTTTATTATTATTTCATAAGTTTTCTAGCGATCAATTCTATAGAAATTGCAGTTTAAACGCTAAATATTTATAAATATTTCCCTTTATTACTTTTGCGGTTGTTGTTTATAACAAAGGGAAAGTATGACCCCCCTCAAATTTCTATATTCTTGGACTCAGGTAAAATTGAAACGTTAACAAATGGGGAAAAATTTGGGAGTGTTTTATGTGCCTACAGGTGTTTATGTTTATAGTCGGCGCGATTTTGTTCACCCAATTAGAAGCTTAATAACTCTCTTGCCTTTTGTCCAAAATTTCTAAAATTTTGCAGGGGGATTTGTGTATTAGAGGGATTGATGTTGTTAAATTTTGGTGGTTAAAGGTCGAGGAGGTGGGTAGATAGTAAAGGCCATGTGTCATATCGCGAGTGGGATAGTACTCGTTATTATCAATTACAATCTTTTATAAAACTCATCTTTACCCTCAAAATTGAGCATTTTCCTATTTTACAACAATTAATAATATAAAANTTGGTGGTTAAAGGTCGAGGAGGTGGGTAGATAGTAAAGGCCATGTGTCATATCGCGAGTGGGATAGTACTCGTTATTATCAATTACAATCTTTTATAAAACTCATCTTTACCCTCAAAATTGAGCATTTTCCTATTTTACAACAATTAATAATATAAAAAGCTTTTATAACAAAATCTCATAAGAAATGAGTCACACACAATTTTAGAGTTTGACTGGGAAACATATGCAACTCGTTGCTAAATTTTTTAAAATACAACAAAATTTTTGTGTATTTAACTTAAAAAGTATGCACGAAAAGTGTTTAAATGGTAAATTTTACGTGATTTTTCTTCGGAAAAAAAGAGCGTATTTAAGCATTTTTTTATGACTTTCAAGATGAAAAAAAGAGGCAAAAAGACTGTTTTTCTCAATGACTGATGCCTTTTCTTCTTACCCATTTAACTCAATTTTTCAATAGGTTTGAAATATTGAAAGAATATAAAATCAAACGTGAAAGTGATTTTTTTTTCTTCCTGCATCTTGGGGTATTTGTAACTAATAGAAACGTTGAATAACTTTTAGAATTTTCTAAAAAAAAACGAAGGAAAAAATTGCAGAAAATGTTAAAGGAAAAAAACTGAAAAAGCTTCGAGAACCAAATAAAAAGTTAAAAAATCTAAAGCAATTTTAGCATTCAATTTCGAACCAGAGTCACATATCTGAACTATTGAGTCACATTTTTTTGATATATTAAATCCATAAACGTCTATTTGTAGACTTGATAAAAATTTTTTAAGACGTTTGAAATGTTATCGTAAATCATATTTTTACAGTCAATATAAGTTAAATTATTAATTTAGTTAAAGAAAAATATAAAGTAAAATAGGTCATTTCAATCAATCGCTTCGAAGTAACTTCGTTGTAATTAACGTTAACTTCGCTATGAAATTATTTAGGGAAAATAGTAAATGTTTAGGGAAAAATAGGGAAAATGAATTATTGTTTAGGGAAAAATAG